GGGCAAAGTGACATTGGGGACAGGGAGAGGGACACAGGGACAGCGCGGTGTCACCAAGAAACAAGGGACAGCATGGGGACAACGTGGTCTGGTCACCGAGGGCGTGAGGACATCGGGGACAGGGACAGTGACGTCACGGGGACAGCACAGTGTCACCAAGGGCGTGGTGACGTCACGGGGACAGCGCGGCGCGGGCACGGTGGCGTTGTCACCGGGCACGATGGCGTTGTCACCGGGAGGGCGCGGCGCAGGGGACACCCTGGGGACAGCGGCCACGGGGGAGGGGACGGCGGCAGCGGGGCCAAGGTGGCCAGGGTGGGGGGCGGTGACGTCATCGCCGGCCGCGGTGACGTCACCGTGGGTGACACCGACCCCACGGCCACCAGCCGCAGCGGTGACATCCCGGGGGCGGCCGAGGGTCCCGGGGCCACCCCTGGTGACGGCAGTGACGTCATCACCAACGCCGGCATCGGTGATGTCACCGCGGACTCCGATGCCACCCGCGACGTCCCCGTGGGCCTGGCGGGTCACGTGACCCCAGGAGCGACAAAGGACCCCGATGCCACCTCTGGTGACAGCGATGACGTCACCACTGCCACCATCCCCGTGGATCCGACGGGTCACGTGACCCCAGGAGTGACAAAGGACCCCGATGCCACCTCTGGTGACAGCGATGACGTCACCACTGCCAGCATCCCCGTGGACCTGACGGGTCACGTGACCCCAGGAGTGACCAAGGACCCCGATGCCGCCTCTGGTGCCACTCCAGGTGACACCGATGACGTCACCACAGCCGACGTCCCCCCAGATTTTCTGTCCCTGGGTGACGTCCCCATGGACCTGACGGGTCACGTGACCCCAGGAGTGACCAAGGACCCCGATGCCGCCTCTGGTGCCACTCCAGGTGACACCGATGACGTCACCATCCATGACGTCCCCCTGGATTTTCTGTCCCTGGGCGACGTCCCCATGGACCTGACCGGCCACGTCATCCCGGGGGCGGCCGAGAGCCCCGGCGCCGCTGCGGATGACGTCACGGGCGACGTCACGGGTGACGTCACGGGCGGGTACCTGCTGTCGGGCTGCGACGTGTTCGTGACGCGCGAGCCGTGCGCGCTGTGCGCCATGGCGCTGCTGCACGCCCGCGCGCGCCGCGTCTTCTACGGGGAGCCGAGCGCCCGCGGGGCGCTGGGCACGCGCTACGGCCTGCACGGGCACCCGCGGCTCAACCACCGGTACCGGGTGTGGCTGCTGCCCGTGACTGGGGACACTGGGAGCACTGGGAACAATGGGAACAGTGGGAACAATGGGAATGGTTGATTGGGGACAGTGACGTCACACCGGGGACAGTGATGTCACACTGGGCACGCGCTACGGCCTGCACGGGCACCC